CCCTAGTTTAGATGGGCAGGGCCCTGCTCTCCGGAGCGACTCAGGGCTCCCTTTCACTCCAGCCAGAAATATTCTGGCCATCTCCTCCCTTTGCTTCTTGTTCTCCTTTCTTTGAAATTCCCTGTCTTCTTTCTTATTCTTGTTCTGCATCTCCCATTCTTCCTTTCTTAGCCTTTCCTCCCTGTCCTCTGGGGATTCCCTAGTGTTAAAAACCTTTTCTGCTTGTTGCAACATTTCCCTGATTGAAATCTCTCCTAGGTCTTCCCGCTTATGAAGTTTTCTCCTAATATCAGAGGCTGCCTGGTTAATAAAAGAGAGAACCACAGCTGACCTGTGTTCTTCTGCCTCTGGGTTTATAGGGGTGTATTGCCTATAGGCATCAAATAGCCTTTCCAGATATGTGGCTGGGCTTTCGGTTTCTCCCTGAACAATTGCTTTCACCTTAGCCAGGTTAGTGGGCTGTCTTGCAGCCCCCTGGAGCCCAATCATAAGCATCTGATGGTAAACTTGGAGACGCTCCCTACCTTCTGCTGTCCCAAAATCCCAATTTTGGCATGTGAGGGGGAATGCCTCATCGATGGCAGGCTGAAGGGTAGTGGGCCTCCCATTTTCTCCAAGGACGTTCTTCCTGGCTTCATTCAGGATGCGTTTTCGCTCTTCTGTTGTGAAGAGGGTGCGAAGTACCTGCTGGCAGTCATCCCACATGGGACAATGGGTGTACATAATGGATTCCACCAAACCTATTAGACACTTAGGGTCTTCAGAAAAGGTAGCATTTTGGGTCCTCCAATTGTAGAGATCGCTAGAGGAAAGTGGCCAGTATTGGTACTGCTGAACTCCATCTGGACTGCTGACTGTTCGGACCAGCAGAACTGGCACAGCTCCTCCTGTGGTGGAGGATGGAGCTTCCCCCACTCGGTCCCTGTTTCCTTGAGACCTTAACTGCATCCCTCTCGCCTCCCCAGGTCGTCTATCTTCTCCTGTAGAGGAGTCTGGGGAGGGGGCAACCACTGGATTCCCATGGGGAGCCCCTGCTCCATCCCCCCCTCCATAGGCCGCCTCGGCTTCTCCTCCTCGTGGAGCTGCATAAGGTGGCGGCTGCTCAACGGGCAAAGAGGGGTAGAGGGGGGAGCTCTCGGGGAAAACTGGCAGACCACTAGGCTCCCCGCGTCTGTGACTGGAGGACTTCAATCCTTCCTGGGTGACCATGATGGAGACTTTTGGTGGGCAAGCATGAGGCTTTCTCACCAAGAGGGGCCTTAACCAGGATGGGGGATCCTCTGCCAGATTCTCCCACAAAAGGATATAGGGGAGTTGATCTGGGTGGCCCTCTGGGTCAGGCCGGGTAATGACAGCCTTGACCTTGCTGATGGTGTCCAGGGAAAGGGACCCCTGGGTCAGCCAACCTACTCCAAAGGTGGGCCATTCAGTCAAGCAGAAAGTGCCAAACTTACCCTTCCTGATGCCGGGGCCCAATTTCAAAGCCCGCTCCTTCACCTCCGACACATGAGAGAGAATCAAACCTTTAGGAGTGGCCTGAGTCTGGCCCATGGTGGAAATCACAGAAGAGAGAGAGAGAGATGAAAAGGGAGAAGTGAAGATGCCACTCTAAACAATGATGGCCAGTGGGTATGCTTGTGGATGGGTGCCTGTTGTTGCCCAGTTTTTCTTCTGTGGGGGATGTGAATTTATCCGGGATTCACGCCTGGGACCCCCTTATCCTTTCACGGGAGTCTTTCAGCGGC